CATCACAGCGCGGAGTGACCTCGGACACGCGCTAGGCGACATCGGCTCGCTATCCAATTAGGTCATAAACTGATCTCGGGCCCAAGGCCCAACAAAACCCTAATACACACAAAGGTATGTGCATTACTTATACGAGACTCATACACCCACAAACACTAACTTTAGCATCAGAGTCTCTTTTGCAGGTATCACCCCCATCTTGGAGCATCAAGCGTAGGCTCACCAATCTTACTCGGAGGATCATCTCTACAGCAAATTTCCGGTAAGAACAATTTATATACATAAAAAAAATTATATTAAAATATTATTTATTGTCATCATTTATATCAATCAAGAATATTCCATTAAATTTAATAGATTGTAAATAAATTTCTAACATTATAAACTAAATTATAAAATATATATATATATATATATATATAATGAATTGTCTATTTACAAATATTTTTAATTTAGGGACTTAACTGAAAATTTTTAAAATGTTAAATCATAAAATATTGTTTTAAAAAAATAAGGAATAAAAATCATTTTAATCTTTAAAAATGATGAACATTATCACATTTGTCTTGCAAACTTAGAAAATGTCAAATAAATTCATTAATATTCTACTACTTCTTAATATTCTTGCCTCTAAATATTTATCAATATTAACACTTTATTTTGAATTTTAGACTAATAAGTTAATGTTAATTTTAAATTCAAAAACTTATGTTGCTTTTTTATAATTTTGTAAACTAACGTAACATCACTTTTCAAATTCAGCGATCAAATTAACTTTTTGTTCAAAAAAAAAAAACAAATAAGGGATGGTAAGGCATTTCGTAGATTTTGAGTCTAGCAATATTTTTACCGGCTAAATATTTTTATATATAATTCATTTTTTTTATAATAAATTATATATATAAATAAATATTATATTTAAAATCTTTATAAATAAATACTTTTAAATATGTGAAGTATATTATAACACAAGATTATTTTTAATTATTGATAATGCATTTTAAAAATATTAAATTTTAATTTATAGATGAATATGATAAATAAAAAATTTAATTAAATAAAAGATTAAAAGAATTCCTAAAAATACTTTTATTGAAGAATAATATCTAAAAACATTTTTATGTAAGATGAATATTTATATTTTTTTTTTGGTTCGTCCCTGGAGTATCCACCGCCGACAGCAGTGACTAATCTCCTCGCTACGTTGGAGGCACCTCAAAGGGTGGGATAGCTGGCCCCAAGATTTAATGCGGCTACATACACAAGGCAGGATTCAAACCCCTGACCTTGCTTAAGCGTGGATCAACCCCTATCGCTGAACCACACGCTTGGGGTTAGATGAATATTTATATTTAATACAAGGGTTGATTTATAATAATATTAAAATCGATTCCTTCTGAAGAATAGTTTTTGACTTATTCAAGTCTAGGAAAAATCATTAATACTAATTAGTATATTATAACATTTTATTTTGTATATAATATATTACTCCATCCATCTCATATCGCATGAGAAGAAAAAATAAGTATACATTAGTTTCTTAATATCATAATAATTAACTCTTTTTCATTTACCTAATAATATTATGTAGAAACTAATTTTTGTGTTGTATCGTTTCAATTAAAGAAGATTAATTACAAGATTAATTTTGTAAAATTATTATTCTCTTTTATCTATTTATTATTTTTTTTAGCCATACAAAATAACTTATGATGACACTTATTATTATAAGATAAAAAAAGTATAATATATGATAATATGTGATTTTATTTATTAAATTCATTTTATAATATTCATTCTTATGTAATACCTAATTATTTAAAATATGTTATTGTAAAGACAAATATTAACTTTTGCCTATTCACTTTTTATAAATATTTTTAACGTTATAAATAATGAAAATAATAAATTATTATTATAAAACTGAAATAGTAATAGTAATTAAGAGAATTATTTTAAAATTAATGATTTTACATAATATGTCTAATATTAACATAGACATAAATTGTTAAAATAAGAGAAAAACACACAAATATTTTACACAAATTTATAATAATAAGTATTTTACATATTCTTATATAAGTCATTTATAAAAAAAATACTAATTAAAAATTCTTTATAATTTTTTTATATTTTTAATTATTCAAATATTTTTCCAAGTCAAAAAAATGAAAATAGTTTTTATTTTAATATCAAATAATACTACTTATACTGTAAGAAATTAACTTTTTACATTTTAAATAAAATATAGGTATTTGAAGACTCAACAAACGAACAGATCTCTCATATCTAGAAAGTTCAAGAATATGTTGAAGAACAAGAAC